GTGTGGATGGCGCTTAGCACTGCACTTCCTGGTTCAGGATCTGGAAAGCTGGGAACCAGAACCACAGCCCGGCTCTGCTCTATACAGTCCAACACGGCCTCAGCGATAGCTGCAAAAGGACGTGAGCGCAGGGTAAATATCACATTATTATTTTGGACTACACCTGGATTTTTATTCTTTCCTTACCTTGACCAGGTAAGACGTCTCGATCATAAAGGCAGATGCTGTAACCGAACTCGTCCTCCAAAGTACTCGCCAGGCATTTTCTGTCTTCCTCACTCAGTCCTCCATCAGTGACGCTTTTGTAGCACATCAGAAACGCATCGTAGCTTTTTTCATCTGAACACAAAGAAAAAGCCGCTGCTGTAAAGGAAGCTGGAGCCCATCAATGATAATGCCTAACTTAGAGATCAATTTCATGTGAAATGAACTGAAACAGTAACAGTTTACAGATGATTATTTCTTCAGTAATCTTATCTTCGTAACTTTAAGAAGGTTTTTTTTTTCATTTTCAGATTTTAAACCAAATTTTCCAATACAATAATTAAATAGGAATTTGTGCTGCTGATATTAGCCAACTTACACAGCTAAAATCTATAAATAACAAGTTTCTTTGTCTGACTTTAAGACTAAGGGCATCTCTTTTATTTTTATGAAGCTTTTGTCGACCTGATTTAGCTGCATTTTGTTACAAGGTTTGCTTTTCTAGTAAAAAAAAAAAACAACAAAAAAAACCCCTCACCTGACGTATTGCTCTGGCAACCACTAGAGCCAAGTTTACCTCTTAGGAAAAGGGTGACGTCAATTTTAAACTTCACATATGTAGCAACAATCACAGCCATCACCACCACAATGCAAGCGATGCATGCAGTTAGAATGACATATGAAGGACCAGCTGCAGGGAATTAGCACAGCAACTTCAAAATAAATTTTCCACAGCAAGATAAATGTTCTGTGATGCACAATTGTAAAAAAAAAAAAAAAAAAAAGTGATGCGCTTACAAACTCACACACCTGTTTTATCCAGGGTGACAGAGACGAGACGTGTGAGTTCAGCACTTTCAAGTTTACATCTGAATTCTGCAGACAGATCCTCTTCCAACACTTCTCTGAAGACTAAAGTTGCGCTCATCCAAACGACGTCATCCAATGACGCGTTCCTGGAAAGCACAGGAAATGGTGGACATCATCAAGATGTTAATGCGTTTGTCCTATCAGTTTGTAATAACTCGATTTCACACAGAAATGTGAGTTCAGCTCTTACTTTGAGAACGTGTCATTGTAGAAATAGCGAAGGGTGTCATTTTTCTCCACAAATTCATCATTTCTCAACCAGAAGAGCGAACCGTCGCTAGAATCGATGAGTGCCGTACAAGTAATCTCCACTGTTTTGCCTTGGAAAAAAAAAATAAAAAAATCATAGAATTGAACATAGCACAATGCATAAAAAAGAACTGTGTTTGTATCTCAATGCTGCAAATAATATAAACTCACCAAGCTCTACTTCAACAACTTTCCCATTCTTTGGTGAATAGATTCCTAAGTTTGTCGGAGGCTTTCCTGCACATAAAAAACCCCCACACATTTATTACTCAACCTTTAACTAACACTTAAAATGGTAAATATGGGGCTTTTATACCTGTCTGGACATCAAGTACCACTGTGAAGGAGGCATTGTATGTGTGATCAGAATACAAGAAAGACCTGGTGCAGATGTAGACTCCACTTTTCCCTACATCAACATTTGTGAAGAAATCATCTGAGACTGCACCATTCTCCTGGGAAAGCAGGAACAATTAAAAAAATACATACAATACTGAAATTCAAACTGAAATGTAAGAAAAGCACCATTAAATGTTCATGGTTATTGCTGTTATGTAATCGAATCACATCCACAGTAACTGGATGATTATTGTACCTTGTGCCATGTGATTCCCAGCAGCTCCCAAGCGGTGCTACAGGGGAGGTTTTCTTCAGGGCAGTTCAGTTCGCAGGTTTGGTTTTTGTAACATGTTTGATTGTACCTGTTTCCAAACTCAATCTCTCTGGACGATTCTGAGTATACTGTAAGCCTGAACGCCATCTGGCACCTGGTGTTCCTGTAAATCATTAAAGTCAGGACGAAAATTATTTTCCAGCTGTTTCAGAGTATTAAACAAGTTTGAAAATCAGATAAAAAGACAATTTCTCAGTTTTTATTTAACTAAGGATTTTGAATAGGTCACTTTAAAGAAATCCCTTTCCTCAGCCATTTGGTACTAAACTTGTAGGTGTGCTTTGGATCCTTGTCCTGCTATGTAGCTAAGATGGACATTAGCTTAAGGTCACAATCTAATCGCCAACCATTTCCTTCAGGATTTTCTGGTAGAAAGCAGAATTCATGGTTGCTTCATTTTTTGCATGCCTCCCAGATCCAGAAGAAGCAAAGCAGACCCAGATCATCACAGTGTTGCTTTACATCAGATGTACCAGGACGCATCAATCCCACTTTAGTCTCATCAGTCCACAGAACAATTTCCAAAACATCTTTGTTGTGGATTTTGGCAAATGTGATTCCAACCTTTATGTTCTTTTTGTTCAGCAGTGCTTCATTGATTGGAACTCTCTCATGGATGACATTTTTGCCATTTTTTCTTGTTGCTGAGTCATGAACACCGACTTTAACTAAAGCAACTGAGGTCTGCGGCGTTAAATGTTGTTCTGGGTTCTTTTATCTCCACCTGGATTATTTCCCAGTTGGCTCTTGAGGTAATTTTATTAGGCCGACGACTCTTGGGAAGGTACACCAATGTTTCATCCAAATAATGGCTGTGGAGGTCTCAGAAACGGATGTGTGACCATTTACTACCTGAGATGTCGGTGACGTTGTGTTTACATCCGACTGAAGCATGATGTGTTGGTTTATGTTCAACCCTGGCAGTAGCCAGGACAGGGTAGTGAAATTGACCTTTACGTTTTGTAAAATGTTATGAATAACTTTTTCACGTGAGGCCAGGCATGGATCGCTTTTCCCATTATAATGATGTCATCATTTGAAAAACGAGCTTTTTTTTTCCAGGTTATTTTATTTTGTCTGATATATTTTTAATATAATCATGAGAGCTTTAACTATGTCATGGACAGAATGAATCAGTTAAAATGAATATGCGGAGTGATTGTGTTGAGCTGGAATCAGTTTATGTGTCGTACCTGAGAGGACCACACGTGTAATTCCCCTGATGGTTTGAAGACGCACTGAGAATCACCAGGCTGTCCTGATACAGAACCAAACCAAGCCGCTGCTGCTCAGACGCCGACATGTTGCTGTAGAGTTGTGTTTTCTGGCCAGTCTCCAGTTTCCAAAGCACAACAGTACCGTCATATTTACACTCTCCACATTGTAGCATCACCAGGTCACCGGCTCTGACATAGATCTCCTTGGTTGTCATGGAGCAAACGCCTAAAAAACAAAACAAAACGACAACAAAAAAAAAAAAACAGGGGGGGCAAATTTATTTCTGAAATAACTCAAATTTACATTATTCCTGTTAAGCATTGTAGCTGTGCTTCCTGGCTTTAGTTTCCCCATAAAAAGCCATCTACTATTCTTCTAAGCTTCTTGTAAAATCTCATTAAACAAAAAACATTAAAAAACATGGGGATCCTTCTTGTTTCACTGCCAAATCATCACACAATCTGGTTAATTGCGATAACTGTGCTCACATATTGCTTCAACTCCATGTGACATTATAAATGAGAAGCTAATAAAAAAAAAAAACTTTTCTGAGAAAGGGTAAAATAAGACTTCTACATCTTCTACATTTGTTTCCACCTGAAATAGCAAAAATTGTATATTTAATATGATGAGTTTCTGACTGTAAAAGTGAGATATATGCTACTGTTTGGTCAAATAAGCTGTTTGAGGCCCTCAGAAGAAAGATTGTATCAGCCTACCAGACAGGAAAGGGGAAAAAAGAGGTCTGACAAGAATTTAAAGTCAGTTGTAAGGGAAATACTCTACAAGTGGAGGACATCCAAAACATGTACCACCATGCCCATGTCTGCCTTTCCAAACAAGTTCACCCTGAAAGCAATCTGCAAAATACCAAAATAAGTCTCCAAAAACAAACATAATGGTGTAAATTAAAGCACCCTCTGCTCATATCTGTCAGATTATTCTGCTGGGTTTTGTAATATTTCCCACATTCACATTCATGTTCCCCTCTACCTTTACAACCTTTACGCTCTGACGTCTTACTGCCACCACCGTGCTTCATGGCGTACATGGTATGTTTCTGATGACGTGCAATGTTTGATGTTCCCCAAACATAACACTAATCAGCTTTTCTCTCACCGACAAAATAACCTTCTTCTTGGAGTCTCTCCGGCATGTTTGGAAAAATTTCTGGAAATATCTCCATTAGATCTATGTTTTTTTCTGTCTTTCCCACACAACTTTTGAGTATTGAACAACTTGGAATGGTTTTTCTATGTAAACTCTCCCCTATCTCACCCACTTCAGGTTCAGAGTGGTTTTGAGTGTCTGGGTTGTTTCCTTAATAAGGTTTATTCTTGCTGAATTCATAGAGCTACTTGCACAGGAGCCTTTTTTATTCTGTATTACGAGTTCAAATTCTTAAGCTAAATTTTACTTCATAATTTAATTCATAACTTTAATACATTTCCACATGATCGTGGTGCAAAAAAGAAAAAAAGAACAGAAAACTGAATCGTGAGAATGTGGAAGTAGTGCTCGAGGGAAACGCATCCAACATCTGACTAAGAAAGAAGTACATTTTTATTTCTCCTTTGCAGACATTACCCGACTTACTCACCTGAGATAAATGCGAGGAATAAAAGTAGCAGGAACATCTTCAGTACTGCTGCGAGAGACTTCACTGTGAACAGCTTGCCTACATTCCTTCTCCTTCAGAGCAAATAGTGATTTCCTTAACCTGACTGCAGGGTGCGATGGGAGAGAAAATGAAACTGATGGAAGAACATCACGCTGACTTTTATTCCTCTGAGTCACAAACCAAGACTTCCTCCTCTGTCCCCAACTTCTGCAATTTTTAGTAAAAACTTATGAACCTTCTTAAAAGCTGGTTTCCAGGAAAGGCGCATGAATGGAGGCTTGGAGTGTTGAAGATTAGAAAGGTGGCTAACTCTGAAATATACGAGTAAAAGAAATAACACATGTAGGACTCAATTCCTCGCTGCTTAGGCCAAAGACGGGCAAAGATCTATTACCGGCAATACATCTTCTCAATCACGTCAATACAAAATTCAAAAATCTCCCCCGTCTATTCCTAACATCACAGGTTTTATAGAGTCTCATCTCTGCTGGTGTGAGTTGGAAAGAAGACCCTTGATTTACGTAAGGCTTCTTGGCATCATTTATTGTGGGTGTGTATTGGGACTTCCTAGAAATTATTTGGGACCTCTTGATATCAACATCTGCTCCATTTTCATTTTGTTCTTATCTGTCCAAACAGCATTGTTTCCGAGTCATGGATAGTGTCCAGTTCTGACTTCACACACAGGGAAAAGAGGGGTACGGGTCACTTTGACCCAGAGTGATGCCAAGAATCCTTTCACAAAAGCAACTCCATAAATACTATGTCCTCTCTAACAGGAGGCCTTGATGCAACCTTGTTAGTAGTTGGAGTCTTACTGACTGTGTTTGGTGGACAGGAGTCTTTATGCAGCTGATGACCTCAAACAGGAGCTTCTAATTTAGGATAAGTGGCGTGGAGGTGGACTCTTTAGAGATGGACTAATATGTCTTTGATGGCCAGAATATTTGCTGGTTGCAAGGTGCAGCAGTGACACACAGATAAATTATTTTTAAAAAATCATACATTGTGATTTCTGGATTTTTTTTTATTATTATTATTTCTTTTTAGATTATGTCTCTCACTGCGGACATGCAACTAAAATTTTAATTTCAAACCCCTCCATGATTCCTATGTGGGACAACTTGCAAAGTCGCGGGGTGCTCAAATACTTATTTTCCTCATTGCAAGCTTGCTTTTCATATTTAATGGTGCAGCAAAGACAGCAACAGTTGACAATAAACACAGAAATAAAATTTCTAAATGCAGAAACAAAAATGTAAAAATAAAATAATAAAACATCTGAGATTAATTCACATTCTGCTGTTCACTTTTTCTGTGCTGTTAACATGTTACATAAGCAACTGCAAGTAATCAACTTGTACTGAAGCAATGACAGAAAAATAATTGTTCCATTCACATGTCTGGTTTTCTGAGTGTATTACACGGAGGTACTCTGTAGACTAAAGTCATAAATAAACACGATATTTTAAATATAAACACATTCATTAAATTGATTTATGCATTATTTTGTCAATGTATAAACAAAGTACTAGGCATTTCTTATCTCTCATGTCGCATGACCAGTATAAAATGGTTAGAGTTAGGTTTGGATATCATCCTAGCATTCTTGTGATAAAAGTTGCATTTTTGGTGTTTGCTGTGGGGCCGGTAAGTGATAACGCAGCTGCTTCCAGAAGGAGGTGGAGGGCGGCCGTCCCTTCCAGGTGACGCTGTTCCCGGCTTTACTCAGAAGCTGCAAAGCCTCTGGAAACGAACCTGATCTCGACGCCTCCGTCTGCTCTGTGTTTATGAAAATCAAGCGAGTCTTCCGCTCCACTAGCGAAGTGTGGATGGCGCTTAGCACTGCACTTCCTGGTTCAGGATCTGGAAAGCTGGGAACCAGAACCACAGCCCGGCTCTGCTCTATACAGTCCAACACGGCCTCAGCGATAGCTGCAAAAGGACGTGAGCGCAGGGTAAATATCACATTATTATTTTGGACTACACCTGGATTTTTATTCTTTCCTTACCTTAACCAGGGAAGACGTCTCGATCATAAAGGCAGATGCTGTAACCGAACTCGTCCTCCAAAGTATTCGCCAGGCATTTTCTGTCTTCCTCACTCAGTCCTCCATCAGTGACGCTTTTGTAGCACATCAGAAACGCATCGTAGCTTTTTTCATCTGAACACACAGAAAATACACCATTGACTTCTCCCACGCCCTCCTTCAAAAACCCATTCTGATGTGAAATAAACTTCTTAAAAACCTTTCTGTTGCTCCTCAGAGCAGACCGACATTTCTTAAGCCTTTGAAGCTTTTGGAGACATTATCCATCGCCGTTGACATTCTGTGGTCAAGGTTTTAGCAACTGAACGACTAATAATTTCTCAGACATGTTGTTAACTATACTTTCTGATTAAAAAAAAATAAAAATCCAGCAAATGTTCTGGATCACCAAATTATTTGATGACTAGAAAGATCATTTACAGGGCAACGGACTCCAACCAAATAAAGTTAGATGGACGAACTGCATCACTGGTTTAATGTTAATCTTCTTGCCCAATCAAAATCAGTGTAGTCAATTAACACATTACGGGGCTTTTTTCCTTTTTGAAACTTAAGATCACAAACAAAATCAAATGAGCTTTTTTCTGGTCAAGACTCACCTGAAGTGCTGCTTTGGCAGTCTTTAAATCCGACTTTATCTCGTAGGAAAAGGGTGACGTCAATTTTAAACTTCACGTAAACAACAACGATCGCCGCCATCAACACCACAACGCAGACAGAGGATACAGCTAGCATCACATGCGAAGGCTGAGCTGCAGGGAGGCGATTGAGTTGATGAAATTATTAGAAAACACATTTTGCAATTGTGAAATGAGCAATTGAGAACACTGAACATTTGAAAATTCCCACACCTGTTTTAACGAGGGTGATGTTGACGGTGGAGGTGAGTTTGTCACTTGAAAATACACATGTAAAAGTTTTTGACAGGTTTCCAGGTGACACCTCTCTGAAAATTAAAGTTGTACTCATCCATTTCGGCATCTTTTCACTTCCATTGCTGGAAAGGAGGGGACATAAGGGACGTCAGTGAGCTATCACTGACTGCATTGTATATATGTGACATTTCTGTTTATCATCAGTTGCAGTATATATATATATGAAATGTAAGTTCAGTTCTTGCCATGGATCTGTGTGAACGTCCGAGTCGTCCACAAATTCCCCCTCACTCGTCCAATACGGACTATTTTGGCAAAAATTTATGAGTGCTTTGCAAACAATCTCTTTTTTTGTGCCTCCAATAAAAAATAAAAACAAACAGAAGAATGAAAACATAATAATAACACAGAAAAACATAGAATGTATTTTGGTGTCTTAATGTTACAAATAAAATACTCACCGAGTTCTACTTCAAAAATCTGACCATTCTTGGGTAAATAGATTCCTAAATTTGCCGGAGACTCAACTGCACACAAAAACGTATATTTTAGGTTTTGGCAAAAGTTTAATTAGATGAACACATAAAGAAATAACAAGAGAGCATTTTTGTAACACCTGCTAGGACATCAAGTTTCACTGAAGAGGAAGTCTGATATATTTCACCAGAATACCAGAAAGACCTCTTGCAGATGTAGATGCCGCTTTTCTCCAATCCAACGCTTGGGAAGTAATTATCCGAGGGCTCACCATTCTCCTGAGAAAGGAGCCACAGTTTAAACCAATTAAATTGTTGGATTTCAATATTAGCAAGAAAAATCTCACTTGAACTCGTTAGATTGATGTTATATAATCAGCTCACAGCCACTGCTGATTTTAATACCTTGTGCCACACGTCTTCCATGCTCTTCATACCGGGGATTCCTACATTAGGGATGCTTCCTTCAGGACAACTCAGTTTGCAGGCTTGCTTTATGTGACATATCGTACTGTACTTGTTCCTGCTGGTACACACTGTGGACTGCTTTGGGCATACTGTAAGTCTGAACCATATCTGGCTGCTGGTATTTCTGTAAATCATCAAAGAAAGATGGACAGAGCATGAAAATCGTTATTCAGACGGCTTGGTCTATGTTTAAAAATGTACATGTAAAGTACAGTTTAGATTTCTTTTTAAATACATTTCTAAAAAGAGACTCTTAGGTATGGAGTGTGAGCATCAGCTTACGGGTGGTACCCGCGAGGACCACATGAGTAATTCCCCTGATGGTTTGCAGAAGCTCTGAGAATCAGAAGGCTGCGCTGATAAAAAACCAAACCAAGCTGCTGCTGCTCTAATGCTGACATGTTGCTGTAGAGTTGCATCTTCTGGTCTGTCTCCATTTTCCAAGGCATTACGGTGCCGTTATGTTTAGACTCTCTGCAGTTTAGCATCACCAGGTCACCAGCGTTAGCATAGATCTCATTGGTCGTCACGGGACAAATGCCTGCAAAAACAAAACAAGTTTTATGCTAGTTTTTTTTTTCTTTTTTTATATAAATAGTTCACACTTTCCCTCTTTCTCATTGCGATTCCTGCTGTTACTATTACAAGACTAAATCAGTTGATTTCTTTGTAAAAAAAAAAAATATATATATATATATATATATATATATATATATATATATATATATATATATATATATATATGTGTGACAAAAAAAAAAAAAAAAATTTTATATATTT